AGAGAACGCAGGATCCAGAGTCAAGCTTCTCCCGCCCCCTGCTGCCCTCTGGCCGACATGCAGCCTCAGGCGCCTCTGCGTTAGGATACGAGGCCCCTAGTCGCCTCAAGCTAAAACCCAAAACAGTGCCTATGCCATCTATAGTTTCCTAACCTCAGGCCAAGAGGTATACTGTAAGAGCTCTTTGTAAGTCATCTTCTACATAGTTCATCTTTACCCAGCATAAAATTAGGGTGCATCTGAGTTACCTTGCTTCTGGTAGAAGTGTAGTCTAATTCCAGATGTAAATGCCAGAACAATAAACTTGCCTTCATCTCTACATTGAAAAATGACAGAGGGGAAAATGTTTATAAATTCATAATCTATATGTGTGTGTTGGGGCAGGGATACCACCTCACTACCTTCATATCGTCATTCCAAGCTCTGAATTACTTCCCCATTTAGTTCACTCATCCAATATTTCAAACCCCTGGAGAATTCCAGGAATGCAAAAATGTTAGAATACCTGTCACTATGAGTTCATATAGAAAGAAGATCCATTAAATGTGATAATACAATGCAATAAATAAGTGGTACAGAAAACATTTGAGATAAGAGTTTTTTATTCATTTTTCAATTTGACATTTTAAAAAGCAACAAATATGCAGGATTTTTTAAATTATGATTTTTTTTTGTAGTCAGAGTCTCACTCTGTCATCCAGGTTGGAGTGCAGTGGCACACTCACAGCCACCACAGCCTCGACCTGCTGGGCTCAGGCAATCCTTCTGCCCCAGCCTTCCAAGTAGCTGGAACTACAAGCGTGCACCACCATGCCCAGCTAATTTTTCTTGATTTATTGTAGATATGAGGTCTCACCAAGTTGCCCAGGCTGGTCTCAAACCCCTGGATTCAGGCAATCCTCTCAGCCTACATTGTAGTTGTCAACATGCATAGCCATAACTACTAAAATACAAATTCAGCCTTAAATTTAAAATTTTTAAAAATCACATCTGACCTTCCATATGACCCAGCAATCCCACTATTCGTAATATATCCAGAGGAACTCAAATCATTTTACAAAAAAGATACCTGCACACACGTTTGTTACAGCTCTTTTAGCAATAGCAAAAAACATGGAACCAACCATGCTGCCCATTGAAGCTGGACTGGCTAAAAAAAATGTGGTAGGCCGGGCTTGGTGGTTCAGCCTGTAATCCCAGCACATTGGGAGGCCAAGGCGATTGGATTGCCTGAGCCTACGAGTTCGAGACCAACCTGGGCAACTTGGCGAGACCTCGTCTCTACAATTAATAAAAAAATAGCCGGGCATGGTAGTGCACGCCTGTAGTTCCAGCTACTTGGAAGGCTGAGGCAGAAGGAGCCCAGCAGGTCAAGGCTGAGGTGGCTGGGAGCATGCCACTGCACTCCAGTCTGGGCAACAGAGTGAGACACCAACTCAAAAAAAAAAAAAGTGGCACATATACACAATGGAATATTACGCAGCCTTAAAGAAGGACAAACATATGGACTTTGCAGCAACTTGGATGGATTTAGAGTCTATCATA